CTCTCTCTCTCTCTCTCTCTCTCTCTCTCTCTCTCTCTCTCTCTCTCTCCTTCTTTCTTTCTTTTCTTCCTTCCTTCCTTTCTTTCTTTCTTTTTCTTTTCCCGGCTTACAAGACCTTAGTTACCTCACCAGGGATTGAACCCGCGCCCTCGGTGGTGAAAGTGCAGAGTCCAAACCACTGGACCACCAGGGAATTCCCTGGAGTACATTTCCAAGCAATTTTTTGGAGGTCATATATGCAAGATATTTTCTGAGTCCTTGTATGACTGAAAATGACTTTTTTCCCTACTCTTGTATTCAATTGACACTTTATCTGGCTATAAATTTTAGGTTGCAAATCACTTTTCTTCAGAATTCTAAAGGCTTTACTCTATTGAATTCTAGCACCCAGTGTTGCTTTTGCTAAGTACGGTGCCATTCAGGTTCTTATTCTTTGGTCATTTTTTTTTAACATCTTTATAGGGGTATAATTGCTTTACAATGGTGTGTTAGTTTCTGCCGTATAACGAAGTGAATCAGCTATCAGTATACATATATCTCCATATCCCTCCCTCTTGCATCTCCCTCCCACCCTCCCTATCCCACCCCTCTAGGTGGTCACAAAGCACCGAGCTGATCTCCCTGTGCTATGCAGCTGCTTCCCACTAGCTATCTACTTTACATTTGGTAGTGTATATATGTCCATGCCACTCTCTCACTTCGTCCCAGCTTACCCTTCCCCCTCCTCGTGTCCTCAAGTCCATTCTCTACCTCTGTGTCTTTATTCCTGTCCTGCCCCTAGGTTCTTCAGAACAATTTTTCTTTTAGATTCCATATATTCTTTGGTCATTGATGTGATTTTACTCTCTGACAGCTTTTATAGCCTTCTCTCTCTCTCAGCTTTATTGAGATATAATTGACATATATTACGTTCAAGGTGTACAACATGATGATTTGAGATATGTATATATTGTGAAATAATTATATGGCCTTCTCTTCCCTGGTGTGAGATTTCATGAAAGTGTGCCTTGATATAGATATAGATCTTTTTTCATTTATTGTGCTGGACGCTGGGATAGAGGGGTCCCTTCAATCTGGAGACCTGTGCTCTTCACCTGTAAGACAATTTTTGGTATTGTTTCCAGGATAACTTGTGCCTTGGAATAACACAATAACTTGAGTTTCTTTCCTGGAATTCCTGGTAAGTGGAAAAGGACCATCCTGGAACCATCAGACATATCTCCATCTTTTCTTATAATTTCCTGCTATTATTTTTATTGAATCTTCTGGTAAAATTCCTTGACTGTATCTGCCATCTCTTCTATTGAATTAAAAAAATTA